CTCTGTCTCAAAAAAAAAAAAAAAAAAAGAATGGCTCAGTGTCTGTAGCTCAGTGGCTAGGGTGCCAGCCATATACACTGATCCTGGCAGGTTCAAGTCCATCCTGGGCCTGCTAAACAACAATGACAACTGCAACCAAAGAATAGCCGAGTGTTGTGGAGGGCGCCTATAGTCCCAGCTACTTGGGAGCCTAAGGCAAGAGAATCGTTTGAGCCCAAGAGTTTGAGGTTGCTGTGACCTATAACTCCATGGCACTCTACCAAGGGCAACAAAGTGAAACTCGGTCTCAAGGAAAAAAGGGAGATGGCACCTGTGGCTCAGCAGGTAGGGCGCTGGCCCCACATAGCAAGGGTGGTGCGTTCGAACCCGGCTCCAGCCAAACTGCAACAAAAAATAGCCAGACACTGTGGTGGGCGCCTGTAGTCCTAGCTACTCCGGAGGCTGAGGCAAGAGAATTGCCTAAGCCCAGGAGTTGAAGGTTGTTGTCAGCTGTGACACCACAGCACTCTACCAAAGGCAACAAAGTGAAACTCAAAAAAAAAAAAAAGGATTATCTTCAGTGATTCCTATAGCCATAGTTTTTCTTCAGTTCCTAAAAGTTTGTCTGTTTTTAAGTGGAAACCTACCGGCCCTCAGCCCTTTTCTAACTCCTCACTCTTTTTTTTTTTTTTGAGAGAGCGCCTCAAGCTGTCACCCTGGGTAGAGTGCTGTGGCGTCACTGTGGCGTCACAGCTCACAGCAACTTCCAACTTCTGGCCTCAAGAGATTCTTCTGCCTCCGCCTCCCAAGTAGCTGGGATGACAGGCGCCCACCTCAATGCCTGGCTATTTTTTGGTTGCAGCCGTCATCTTTGTTTGGCATGCCCAGGCTAGATTTGAACCTGCCAGCTCAGGTGTATGTTGGCACCTTAGCCGCTTGAGCCACAGGCACCAAGCCTAATTCCTCATTCCTGATGGGTTTTGCTTTCTCTCATTAGCCTCATCCTGTGTCTCCTTATACCACAGCAGAGAAGGCAGAAGGCCACTTGGGGTTGAGTCCTACTTTTGTGTGCCCTGTTAACCCTACACCATCAGTATCAGGGGCAGTCTATTCTTCCTATTCATCTCCTTTACTCTGAACATGACTCTTACACATCCTTTTTCTGACGCTCATTATCTGAGAGTACTTTAAAATATTTACCCAAAATTTCAGCCTAGTTCTTTAGTTTTCCTGACTCCATTCAAAGCTAATCTACCCTCCCCCCCGCCCCGCCCCTCTCTAGGAAGGAACTGTGTGGGGATTTGGCCTTCCTCTGGATCAGAATGTGGCAGTATTCACTGGCCTGACTTCTATCACTTGGGCTCCTGGTCAGTTTCCATGTGTGGGATGGGCAGGACTGACAAGTGTCTCCGTGTCCCCTTTTGTTACAGGTCAATAAACATGCATTTTCTGGAGGGAGAGACACCATTGAGGAACACAGGCAGTTTGGGGGCAACTGTGACGTGGACGTGTCTTTTATGTACCTGACCTTCTTCCTCGAGGATGATGACAAGCTAGAGCAGATCAGGAAGGTGAGATGGGAGCCCCAAGGACCTGGTCAGCCCCAGCCTCTGACCCCTGCTCACACAGGACCTAGAGGCCCTAAAACCAGGCATTAAGCGTTGCTTGGCACTTTCCCAGTGCCTAGGCCTTAGGAACAGGTGCTTACCTGAAACAAGATGAAAACTGAGTAGGGTCACTCATGTTTTTTAATCATATGCTAAAAAGAACAGATCACAAAAGAAAAAATACAAATTGCTATTTATTTAGTAGACACACAAAAAGATTTCATCTTGCTAGTCATCAGAGAAATATAAGTTAAAATCATCAAGCTTGGTGCCTGTAGCTCAGTAGTTGGGGCGCCAGCCACATACACCAAGGCAGGAGGGTTTGAACCTGGCCCAGACCTACTAAACAGCAAGGACAACTGCAACAAAAAAATAGCTGGGCATTGTGGCAGGCACCTGTAGTCTCAGCTACTTGGGAGGCTGAGGCAAGATAATCACTTAAGCCAAAGAGTTGGAGGTTGCTGTGAGCTGTAACACCATGACACTCTACCAAGGGCAACATAGTAAAACTCTGTCTCAAAAAAAAAAAAGTTAAAATAATTCTTGGAATTAGCAGGGGTTAGTGTTGCTGTTGACTGTGTTTTCAATAATTATAAACCAGATGCTACAGGTCATACCCACGTGAGAAGAGTGTTCCCTGGCACAGCCTCTGTGAGCAGTTAGGGCATCTGTACACAGAGCCTAAAACATGTTCATGGACTTGCCTTTCAGGTATTCCAATTCTTGGGGTGTTTTCCAAGGAAATAATACTGAATAAGAAATAGCTTCCAGGCTTGGCACCTATAGCTCAATCGGCTAAGGCACCTAAGGTGGCGGGTTCGAATCCCCAGCCTGGACCCGCCAAAACAACAATGACGGCTGCAACCAAAAAATAGCCGGGCATTGTGGC